AATTCCATTTGGGTCATCATTGATAGGTTGACCAAATCAGCTCATTTCTTACCTATTCGCACTGATTACATTTCGGAACAGTTGGCGAGACTTTACATTACAGAGATTGTGAAGTTACATGGCATTCCGTTATCTATTATATCGGATAGGGATTCGAGCTTTGTATCAGGGTTTTGGAAGAGTTTTCAACAGGCTTTGGGTACAGAGTTGCATCTTAGCACTGCTTATCATCCTCAGACTGATGGACAGACCGAGAGGGTTAATCAGATAATAGAGGATATGCTTCGTTCTTGTGTCCTTGACTTTACCGGCCACTAGGAGAAGTATTTGCCACTTGTGGAGTTTGCATATAACAATAACTTTCAGAAGACTATTGGTATGGCACCGTTTGAGGCATTATACGGCCGACTATGTAGATCTTCTGTTTGTTGGATGGAGGTTGGCGAGAGCAAATTTTTGGGTCCTGAGTTCATTAAGGACACCTCTGAAAAGATCGCTCTTATTAGGAATTGTATGCGTACTACCCAGAGTAGGTAGAAGAGTTATGCAGATTGTCATACTCGTGCATTAGGGTTTCAGGTTGGAGATCAGGTTCTACTCAAAGTATCTCCTATGAAGGGAATAATGCGCTTTGGGAAGAAAGGGAAGTTGTCACCGCATTTTGTTGGTCCTTTTATGATTACGGATCGGATTGGAACTGTAGCTCATTGGTTAGCACTTCCGAACCACTTGCATCAAGTCCACAATGTTTTTCATGTTTCCATGTTGCGAAAATTTTTGCGAGATAAGGATCGTTATCAGCATATAAATGTGGATGAAATTGAGTTGCAACCAGATGCAACATATATGGAGCCACCGTGTCGCATTATAGATCGTAAGGATCATGTTCTTCGTAATAAAATCATATAGTTAGTACGTGTCCAGTAGAGTCACCATAATGAGGCTGAGTCTACTTGGGAACGAGAGGAGGTCATTCGCTCACAGTTTCCAGAAATAGTGGAAGAAGGTAAGGGCGAATTTCGAGGATGAAATTCCTTTTGTTAGGGGGAAAGAATGTACTACCCCTAATTTTAAAGGATAGTCTCGGTATTTATTTATATGTTTTAATTGCATTTTTAATTATTTATTTAATTTCCTGGTTAATTGTTTACTTGTTTACTTGTTTAATTGATTTAATTGTTTATGTGTTAATTGAATTATTTATTTAAATTAAATTATGTACTAAAATTATGTGTATTCGATTTCTTTGTTTAAATTAAAATGTATGTGATGATGTGTATTTGTTTAGGAATTTAATTATTTTATTTTTATTTTTATTTTTCATTTTTAAAGGAATTGGATTTGGAAGGTAGTAGTGAATCAACTAATTGGATCCCATGGACTACTTAGATATGAAGTTAAATGGGTACGGATAATTACCTGTGGATAGTTATATTTTTTTTAATTATACTTGGATTGAGAACATGATTAGGGTTATTTTATTTACCTATAAATATATAACTATAAGGTTATAAAAGGGGCTGAAAAATAGTCATGTAGTATATTTTAGAAAGAGAAAGAAGGAAGAAGAAGGAAGAGAAAGAGGAAGAAGGAGGTTAGGATATTTATTAAATCCATAAAAACAAGTTTTAATTCTTCTCTTCTCCTTTGATTCATACCCTATGCATGCTAGATTAATTCTAGATTCTTTAAATAAATTAATTGTATCCAATTACATGAATTAATTTAGAAATTACAGTTCATGTGTTTTAATATGTGTTTTAATAATGGGTTTTAAAATTTTTTCTTTCTTCTGCTGAACTGGGTTCTTTATTGTTTGTGTGTTTTTTTTTTTTTTAAAGCATGATTCAGTGTATTGTTGTATAAGTTAAAATTAGATTTTGATAGTTGTTTTCATGCACGCCGAACGAGGAAGACTCCAAGAATGAAACAGTTTGCGTATATGTATGAAATTAGATATTGTGTTTGTCTTTAGGCATGCTGAACGAGGAAGGCTCCATGAAGAAAAAAATCTATTTGTTGTATGTATTGGTGAAATTAGAATTTTGGTTGCGTCATAATATATACACACTGAACGAGGAAGGAAAAAAAAAGTCAAAGGCTGCATCAGTTTGTAAATTTTAATTGAAATTTCATTTATTTGTTTTTTTCTTAAGGCATACACGCTACACAAGGAAAAAAAAGTAACATACAACAAACTAATATGGTTAGGTGGTTAGGAATGAGTCCGGTATATAAAAAAAAATAGATATGCATTAAATATTTCAAACATTAATCTGTTTAATGTTGGAATATTAAATTAATATTTGTTATTATTATTTTTTTTATTAATGGATCTGTATTAAATATTTATTTAATTTAAATAGCTTCATTAAGAATTGGGTTGCATGATTTAAAGTACTCATGCTAAGTTAATTAAATAGGGTTGGGTTAAATTATTTAAATCAAATATTTGGATTTAAATAAATTTAATCAGATTGTAGTTGAGTACAATTAATTGAGAGGCGTGTTAATTTCTTTTGAGGTAAAATTAATTGCATGATTTTTAGAATTGTTATTTTTGCTCAATTAAATGTAAGTGATATATATATGATTATATCATGTTTGCGTGGATTATTAGATGTAGAGGTTGATTGCATCTTTATATGGATATGGAAACTTTTATGTGATTATATTGTGGATTAATGCACTATTATGGGATGGGAGGCATATAAGGGAATGGATTAACTAATAAAATTAAGTCCTACTTACTTTCCTGTCAGGTCAACGGAACAGTTGGATGACATATTACTAAAATAATATTTAGATAGTTTATTTTTGATGGTTGGATAAGATGGATTATATATATATATAATTATGCCATGATACGAGCTTGAGTCTCAAGATCAGTGGTTAGGGTGTGTATATTGCCAGGAATGTGTAACTATATATAGTGTAGTTGTATACCCTAATAGGTCTAGGTACTCATGCCCACTATATGTGCAATGGACTATTTAGTTATTGTTGAATTAACTAGGATATATACGTGTATCGGGTCTCTGTTTAGGACAGGGGCGGAGCCAGAATCTTGAGGTCGGGGGAGCCAAAATTATAACCAACATTACTTAGCTAGAACTTTTGAAAAAATAAAATATTACGTAGGCAAAAATATTTTACTATTTATTATATTTATATAAAAATATATCTATTTAAACTTTTGCCAATTTTTTAAATAAAAAAAAATAGTTATTTAAATAAGCTTTTTATCAAACTTTCTGAACAAACACCAATAAGATTTATGCCAAAATTATATAAAAAAATTAATTAATCAATTAGATTTTAATTTATAAAAAAAAATAAGAAATTCATGTAATCCTTGCACAAATTAATAATCATTACACAATATATAAATAAAAAAACAAACAATAATAAATCAATTTTGACTAACTTAAATAAAAAAATATTGGCAAGTAAAAAGAAAATAAAAAAAAGAAAGAAAGTGATCGAAAAGAATTATGTATGAGATGCAATTTATGATAATAAGGTTATTGAATCGTGATTGAGTTGGAAAGATTTTAAGATAGTCACATTATGGAAAGAACTGTATTTGAGTTGAAATTGTAAAATAGACACATTATGGAAAGAACGGTATTTAAGTTGAAATTTTAAGATAGTCCCATTAAATTTTTATATAAGTAAGTTTTTATGGGGATTCTATAGTAGTCATTTAAATCACTCTTCTTTAGATTATATATAAATTATCTTTTGTTAAATGCTAATTAAAGAAATGATTATTATTTTTATTTTTTTGGGGGGGCCAAGTATAGATTTTATATCATACATTCTATATTATTTTTATTTTTAGCTATCTTAAAAAAAAAAAAATCCAAAAAATTAGGAGGGGCCATGGCCACCCCCAGCCCCCTGGCTCTGCCCCTGGTTTAGGATGTAGTAGATTAGAACTTGTTTGTAGGCCTGACTCACCATTATTTCTCAGGTGTTCGTCAGTTCCAGTCTTAGAGATTGTTCGTGCCCAGCAGAGACAGTCATTCACTATTCCGACTCCACGTAAGACTTTTCTTCATGTTTTAGTTATTAGCTTTGTTTCAGTTTAGTTTTTTTCAGTTAGGATATTATTAGGGGTCCACAGTATGAATTCCTTATTTGTAGTTTAAATAATTACTGGTGTCAGAGGATTGGAGGATTTTATTATAGGATTTTTAATTATTATTTACTTGAGGATTATTAAGTGAGGATTTATTATTTAATTCCCTCTAGCTTATTATTTATTTATTATTCTTTTTGTATTTAATTGCTTGTTTAAATATTAATTATTTGATATCTCTTGTATTCTGTGCTCAGACTTGATCACCCGTGGCTGTAGAATCAAGGGGTATCATAGCTATTATAAAACTGTTGTTAGTAAAACGCATTTATGCGTTTGGTGACACATTGCATAAAGTGCACTTTTTATACTTGAAGCACTTTTAAATTTGTTTGGTAATAATGCTGCTTAAAATATTTTTATTACTAATTTTACTATATTACCCTCACACTAAACATGTGCTAATTCCCTAATATTAAATATTATAAAATTTCGTTGAGTTCAATAATTTATTTTTTAAAATATCACATATTTTGTTTATGATATCGAATTTGTATTGAGTACTAAAATATAAATGAATTAAACATATCTTAATGATGATTAATTTGTATCTGATTTGGAAGGGGTTGCAAAGTCTCAAAATAATTTAAATATTGTTTGCTATTTGTTTGTAACAGGGCAAAATCGCATTTATAAAAAATAAAAAGAGATTAAATTATCTAAAAAAATTTGTTACCTAAAAACATTAACTTTTATCCACAATTTTAAAAGTTACAATTCTTACGCAATTTTTTGAAATGAAAATGTTTTTAGTAGTGTGATAATACAAAGTGCTTTCCTTGAGATCTTTTTTAACCGTTAGATTACTGAAGGTGTAAGACTCTTGATGCACCCTCAATCAGCAAATAAAATCTATATTCAAACTCAGAGAGAAAGCGCCTGTTCATTGATTCCCCAATCGCTCTTCGGTGTCTTGAGTCTTTTGACGGAAAGTGCTCGACATCGCCGGCCGAAATACGACAATGGCGACCACTTCGGATGTTTCTAATCGGCTACGACTACACAGGTACATCTTCTATAACTCCCATTTCTCTTTCCTGTTCTCTGTCTCTTCAAATCAAAAACCCTAAAATTATCATTTCTAAAAGTCTTTTTCTTTTTTTCCTTCAAAATTTTATACTCTTTTTTTGTCGAAGCCCAACCTCTTTGTCTCATTTCCTCTTATCAATTCTGAGTTTACCACTGCAAACGCAGAAATTGGATTGCATATGAAATAGAAATTAACTATGTTAGTAACCCTCATTTTAGATGAATGCAGGGTCTAGTGAATAAGATTGATTTATTGAGTATGGTAGAAACCCTTACTAACGACTTTCCCTAACAAAACTACCTACCACCGAGGTTTTCTAAAATTTAAATCTTTGATTTGACCATTGAATTTTACATCTAAAAGATTATATATATATATATATATATATATATATATATATATATATTTTTTTTTTTTTTCTCAGTAAAAGATTATATATATATAGAGAGAGAGAGAGAGGGAGGGAGAACATAAAGAGAGCTAAATATTCTCTTTTTCTATAATGATTTTTTTTTTTCCCTATCTCAGTGACCTAACCGATTTTTTTTTATTGATGTTAAGAAAAGTGATTTGATTTTATGTAATGATTTTATTGCACTTTTTCTTCTTTGCTTAGTATTTTGCCACACTTCATGATTAACATAGCTGTAATTTTCCTGTCATAGTTAAGGTATATCTAAAATTTTATTTTATTTTATTTTTATTATTATTATTTTTTCACATATCTAACAATTGGGTTTTACTGAAAAAGAACTTTATTTCTATGTAAAAGTATACTTTCTTGGAATTTTGTAATTCTTGGTTGATACTACATGGTCCATTTATGTTTTATAATATTGGGTGTCCATTGTTTTTATTATATTTTGAAGTTGAGTGAGAATTATATGTTCTTTTGCAGTTAGCAGAATTGAATTGGAATGCTAAAGACAATGCCACTTGGTCAGGTTTAATTTTTTTAACTAATAAATTTATTTGTCTGTTTGTTTTGGTTATTCCCCTTGAACTCTCATCTTCTTTTGTTCTAGTTTACTGTTAAATCTCTTGTTAGTTAACATCAAATACTCAATTTGCCTGTGATTTGAACAATCTATATTTGCTATGTTTGTTGATTAAATTTTTATTTTTTTTAATCAAGCACATTGTGCCCCCGAAATGAAATCCCGGCTTCATCCCTAGAGACAATAGAACACCACCATTGTGTATGAGGGACAATTTGAATTATTATTATTATTTTTTTAAAAAAATAAGTAAATTTAAAAAAAAAAAAAATTGTTTCAAATAAACCCAAAGTGTTTTTTTTTTCTAGTTAAAAAAGCCCAAAGTTCATACGCCCTTGGTTTACTCTTTTGCGCACTTTATTATTGTTGGAATTTGTGTCTCAAATTCCTATTCTAATCATATTTCTATTTTAGAGTTGTATTCTGTTTGGTAATTTCTTGTTTGGCAAGTCTTGGTCTCTAAGAAATTGTAATCATTCTCCAACAAGGAATTAGGTTTGGAACTCTATAAATACATAGGCTTTGGGTTGAGACTTATGAGATTGAGAGAGATTTAGTCTCATGAGGGAGTTGATGAATAGAGATAGTTTATGTATTGGTAGGATAGGGAAAAGCCCAAGGGTTAGTGGTACATGGTGAAAAGACATGTGTGTGGTGTTGGTACTCTGTTATTATAATATTTCTATGAATTATGGTGGAAACTCTTCTCATCCGTGGATGTAGGTCCCATTTGGCATAACTTTTACTTCTGCTTTACGTAGAAGAAAAAGAGAAGTAGAAGGTATCACTTATATTTGGCGGGCAAAACGTTTATTAAAGTTATTCTACTACTAATATAACCATTTTGCCCTTAAAAGATTTTATTTTTTATTTTATTATTATTTTTTTATCATTCGTCAACGTAAAGTAGTTTAACTTTTTTTTATACCACTCTTTTTAAATATATACGAATAAACTATTTAATATAATAAAATTTATTCTTACATTATATATAATAATAAAAATTACAAAAACCATTTGACGGTTTAAGAAACTTAGTAAACCACATGAATGAGTTAATGGTCCAAAACACTCACCGCATGAGCAAACGTACTTCTACTATAAGTAAGTCATTCTCACCGTCAATTAAATAATAATTATTTTTCTATTTTTTGAACATAATATATATTTAACTCATTTTATAAATTCTTTCTTCAATAATTTTTCTTTCTTTCTATAGTGTTTGGATAAATTGAAATATTGAAACAAATACAACTCAGAGAGAAAAACTATAAACCCACAGCTTCACAAGCAAACCTAGACAAAATAAAATTGAAGACAAAAAGGATATGAAGGCAAAAAGAATATGCTGGTAGCTAAGAATGAATCAAATTATAGATTGCGAAGAGCGAAATATATATATGGAGGAAGAAAGAGACTTTTTGTCTCTATTTACAGAGAGATATGAACTTGGCCGATGAATCAAGGACCAAAGCCAATACTAAGAAACATGAAAGTCAAGCTTGAAGAGCAATTTTTTACTATATGAATTTTTCAGTCCCTCTCATAAAAGAAAGTTCTGTATCAAGTATCAACCTACCTTCCATAAAGGTATCAAAAGGCCGTAAAGCCCCAAGTATGAATTATGAATCGAAGTATGGCTCAATGTCTCTATATATTTGTATGAATCGAAGTATGCCTCTTTCTTCCTCAATGTTTGTATGAATAGAAGTATGCCTCTTTCTTCCTTAATGTCTGTACGAATCGAAGTATGCCTCAATTATATATATATATATATATATATATATATATATATATATTTTTTTTTTTTTGTATATGGTTGTATATTACTCTGGGTTTTCCTCCGATTGAGTGCTCGATCATATCAATCTTTTGAGTGTCAAGGGAAATGCAGAGACGAGTTGTGCAGCACTAGGGTTTGGAAAGAATTAAAGGTCTTTTTATTGGGACATGCTTGGGATTATTATTATTTTTTTATTTGGTAATAAAAGGGGTACGCTTGTTATTTTAAAAAGTTTCATTAAAACACCAAAACTCTTCCCGTGTTGTTTCAAAAGAGCGTTTTGGAAAAGTTAGGGGGTGCCAGCTTCTCCAAAACGCTTTTCCAAGACCCAAAAGCTCTTTTAATAAACTAGCCAAATACTACTTAAAATAGCTTTCAAGCCCAAAAAGCCAAAAGAAACGTTTGAAAAGCCAATCCAAGCAGGGTCGTAGATTGGTTTTGGTCGAACCACGTTATATCTTGTATTTGTGTGTGATTGTTTTGTTGGCTTTTATTGGATCTTTATATTTGTGCGCTTCCTGTCAGAACAAATTGGTATCAGAGCCAAAGGTGAAGGAGATCCAAGAAACACAATAAGTCTAAACATGTGTTGCAACGGGCTTCAATTTTAGGTGGAGTCAATCAGCTTGGTTACATGGGATGGAGCTCGAGTAGTCAAGGTGGAGCCTTGGAGGTTTGACTGATCGAGCAGCGTAGAGTGTGGATAATCGGAGTTTTCCAGGAGGTTTGTCAAGATTGAAGCTACAAAAGAATTGTCCTCATCAATGCCGTGGAAACAATGATCGACTAGATGTAATTTGAGACAAGGTGGTGATTATTGGAATTTGTGTCTCAAATTCCTATTCTAATTATGTTTCTATTTTAGAGTTGTATTCTGTTTGTTAATTTCTTGTTTGGCAAGTCTTGGCCTCTAAGAAATTGTAATCCTTGTCCAAAAAGGAATTGAGTTTGGAACTCTATAAATAAATACGTAGGCTTTGGGTTGAGAATTATGAGATTGAGAGAGATGTAGTCTTACGAGCGAGTAGTGTTGGTACTCTATTGTAGTCTTACAATAGAGTACCAACACTTGGTACATATCTTTTCACCATGTATCACTCCACGAGCTTATCATTCATGGACGTATGCCAGTTTTCAGATAATTTGGCTAGGTTTATGTCCAAAAAGGTTTAGATGCTAACATGGCAAAATCAGGACGAAACAATCATCTCCCACCATTGATAGGCAATATTACATGTTCCCTTAGGCTATCAAACTTGGCATTTGTAGCACTACTACCACCATATTCGTTGGCATTTGATCTCTCATCAAGTAAGGACTCTGTCTCCTCCAAATTCAATGCTATTTCAACCCATCGATGTTTCTCTACCATCCTTAGTCCCTCTAGTCCCATTCCTACTTCCTTCATAGAAGGTCTCTCCTCTCCCTTCAAGTTTAAGCACCTCCTTGCAATCTCTGCAATTTCCTTAAGCTGCTCAGCATTTCCATCACACACTAGATGATCCTCAAGAACTTGAAACAAGCGACCCTCTTTCAACGAAGAAAGAAAATACGTAGCTAGACTCCTCTCCTCCTCTGGCCTATCAAAAGAAAGGGCCTTCTTTCCAGTTAGTAGCTCTGCAAGGACTACCCCGAAGCTATAAACATCACTCTTCTCATTCAATTGGCTCGTGTGCATGTACTCAGTGTCCAAGTATCCAAGAGTTCCTTGCACCATCGTACATAACTGAGCTTGATCCAACGGAACCAACCTTGATGTTCCAAAGTCAGACACTTTTGTAGTGTAGTTATCATCTAAGAGTATGTTTGCAGACTTGACATCTCTATGGATGATCGGGGTAGAAGCTACAGATTGCAAATATGATAGAACTTCAGCAGTTTCTGCTGCAATCCTTAGACGGATGTCCCAAGAAATGGCGGTTTCCTTTCTTTTATTATGGATGTGTTCAAAGAGGGTGCCATTGTTGATGAACTCATAAACTAGTAGAGGGACCTCTGTCTCCAAACAACAACCCAATAGCTTTACCACATTTCTATGGTTGATCTGAAAGAGTAAAATCACCTCGTTGATGAATTGCTCAATTTGGCCTTGATCCACTATTTTAGACTTCTTGATGGCCACTATTCTGCTGTCTGTTAAGTAGTCTTTATAAACTGTGCCATAACCTCCTTGACCAATAATTTTGCTATTGTCGTAGTTGTTAGTAGCCATCTGAAGCTCTTTCTTGGTGAAAATTTTGACTGTATCCTTGTTTCCTTCTTGTTCAGAAAGCTGTTGTCGTAACATTAAAACACCATTTTGCTGAAATAATTTTTCTTTGATCCTAACGAGCTTTCTTTTCTTCAATCCAAAGTACAACCAGGAGCTACCAACAAGCAGAACTGTTATCACTGTAGCAATACCTGTAATTGAAATTAGAAAGGAATATTTTACTTCTTTTTGTAAGTAATTTAAGTAAAGCATGAATAAAATACTGAAAAGTCCAAAGGATACCGTACAGTACTGGAAAGAAGTAAGATGAACATAACACAACCAAGAATATAAAACTCCCCCTTATATTTATATCCATGGACAATTTGATGAGAATATAATTCACCAAAAAACTTGGAGACCATAGTATTTTAAGGATAAAACAATCCACAATAATCAGGAAAAACTAACATTTCATTCAAGAACCCCGAAACCTGTTATTACAAATTAGCTCATTGCTTTATCAAAACTAGCCTTCACTTTCAATGTCCATACTTGACCAACTCATGATGGTGCCACCCAACAATTGTGAGGTTTAGAAGGTTGTCTTGAATTACTACACTAACAAAGGAAGACAGTACCTAAGGAGATCACTACCAAAGTATCTTTGTGGCCCAAAGGGTAATATAAATGAATTGATGGATATAAACTATATTCATTTATCTTTCCCTCCTTTCAACTGAGTGGCATCAATTGCTAAGGATATCTGAAAAATTGAATCATCATTATATCTGAGGAGGAAATTAATTAGAATCCATCTAATATACTTACTGACATAAAGAGTAATCACGAGTAGTTGATCAACAACGCAACCTTCTCCATTTGTTCGGCTGTCCCAACAGTATCCTTTGGGGCAAGAACATGTATAATTGCCTGCAATTTTAACACAATGTTTTGGGCACCTGTTGAGACTTGGGTCCTCACATTCATTAATATCTGCAAAACAATTAAAGAATTAAATTGAGGCACATGTCAGGAAAACACTTAGAAGCATTGCAATTAAAGGTTTAATACAAACATAAATATGGTGAATACCTTGGCAACCTTTGGACAGGTATGGGTTACCTTCGTAACCATTAAAGCATCTGCATCGATACCCAGGACCATTATCTGGTTCATAACACTCACTATTTTCTTTACATGCATAGCTAATCAAATTTTTGCCAGCCACTTCACATGTCTCATTACCAATGGTCCAATCAAGCACCAACAGAAGCTTTTTTTTTGTTGTTCAAATTGTGAAGATAATTCTTTGAGAAGTTGAACTCGCTTTCTTCTACAACAAAGGCATAGCTGCAGGGGTTGAAGCCATGTATTTATGTATAATTGTAGTAGCTACTTAGTGTCAAATTAATTTTTCTTACCCCTTTGGGGATGGATGTCTGGCAACATCCAAACCCGGAACAAGAACCATCAGTAATGTCATCCATGCTATCACAAAGGGACATACACCCACTCGTTACCTCTGATCACCTTCGTAGGCATGTAAAATGGCGTTAAGTATCACAACCAACTGCTACGAACTTATTTTGGGTATTAGAGATGGTGAATTTGGTCAGCTTGAATATGGGCTCGTTGTAGGTCGTCCTGTAACCATGCACATCATAACAATCATGAGCGGTAAACTTCAAGACTTGCAACTGACCTTCGAGTCTAATTTTGGTAACATTTTTTGTACTCTCTAAAAATGGTTTGGCAGGATTGAAGGAATTGTTACAGGTGATGAGGAAATGTTTATCAAGATAACAGGCCGGAGTCATGCTGAATGGGTATGGGATGCTTACATTCCCACAATAATCAGCGCAGCCGGGTTTGGCTATGGGTGTATTCGCTGGCGAAGCAGTTGGTGCTGAGGAGAATATCAACAGCACAAGGGAGAGAATTTGGACAGGCATCACAGGCAAACCCATTGTGAGTGACAACTTTGTTTGATTTCTGATGGCTACTTTTTGGTGCATACAGAGTCACAAGCCCTTTTTTTGGTCTTTTTTAGGCACTCTAGTGGAAGACCAAGTCCACTGTAGTGTGATATACAAAGAGATATAAATGTGTCTGCACTAAGTTTGGGCTGAGGTTAGTTGGAATAGTTGGCAATGTTGGTTAGTATTAACTTCATTGAAAGAACCATTTGGTGCAACTCTATCAAATTTTGTGAACAGAAAGAAAATCTCTCTTGCAATATCTTGACTTTGGTTTAGTGATATTGTTGTATATTTGTATGGTCGCTCATTAGCTTATTTATTTTTAGTCCATGTCGTAATAATGTTTATTGCCAAACACAATTTTCGTATGTACCATAATCCTGTTACCATGGTTTGTTTTTGAGTTAAGTGTTGATCGCATAAAGAAAGCACGTAAAAGGGACAAGGGGATGCGAAGTTGTAGCCAAATTTTGTTTGGGCTTGAGTCTGGTTGCCATCCAATTTTGACACTTTTTTTGTTTTTTTGACTTGCTTTCTCTTGTGAATCCCATTGAAAGACGCATATTAGATGAGAGATAATGTTTGGTAGCTGAAATTTATAATTTCTTATTTTTTGCATAATGAATTTTTTTGTTTGATCTTGACTCTAAACATAAAGTTTATTTTGAATCTGTAAATCTTTATGTTCTTTGTGGTGTGTGTTTATTTTTCTATAGTATGTGGGACTAACTTTTTTTCCCTCCGAAGACTCAGGCAAATTGATAATTTGTAACCATAATTGTTATTAAATATATGTACATGTCTTTTTCGTTGCTGAATTGAACAATATATAAACATCACGTTCAACATAAAAATAAAAATAAAAATAAAAAAGAAGTAGAGAAAAACAAAAATGATAGAACAAAAGGACACTGTAAATGAGAGCACGTTGGTAATATTTTTTTTCACCTTTCACTCTCTTCAATTTCCCCCTCCTCTTCGTTTTCAGATTTCCAACTCTCTTTCTTTCTCTTGGATTTCATTTGCAGATGTTCTGTACAGAGTGATTGTTCCTTCGTCTTGTGACCATTAAATGGCGAGTCATTGTTATCATGGTAATTGTACAGAGTTCTGTAAAATTGGGTTTGTTCATTGTTGAGGGTAGTAAGGAAAAATAGCAAAATACAGGAACCCATTTCTTTTACTATTTAGTTTATTATCCAATCACAGAAAACAAATAGAGTTCACAGTCCATGTGCTTCATATGACATGAGAGCACGTTGGTATTTTATACAGGCTTCAGCTTGAATTTAAGAATATTAAGCCCAATGGGCCAAAAGGAACAAATGTACAAGGACAAACTAGCACAAAACATGGCCCAAAAGGCCCAAAATAAGCAACTGAAATTCAATCGAGTTAAAATTCAGTTGCTACTGTTTTTTCTCGAACCTTAAAGAATTAATCTGGCGGATGTGGAGGAGGTCTAGGATCCTTCGCCCCATTTTCCCATTCTAGGGTTAAGAAAGCTTCCATTCGAGTTCGCAAAACCCTAGATTGTAATTGCCCCTAATCTTGTGTAATACAACATTCTTCCATTGACTACAGTGTCTGATACAAACTATGAGTGGTTTTCTGTTTTTGTTGTTTTAAAATCCTTAATCCTCTCTCTCTCTCTCTCATTTTTATTATTTATTATTTATTTTTTTCAACTAACACCAATATGTGTTGTATTTTAGATTCGTGTATTTGTTGAGAATGTTGTAGAGCTCTGAGGTGATATCTGGTGTTACTTGGAATAGGGGAGTATGGGCTTCATGATCTTGTGCTGTTGGAGAGT